GCATAATCTTCCCAACAATGAAGAAAAATGGTTTTCCTCCCGAAATTCTTGTATCTTTTTCAAAATTTTATGAAATTTGGACATTTATATAATCAATTTCATTACAAATCCTATCAATTCCAAATTATTTAGCCTCTTCAGAAATTATATTTTTATAAAATTTTATATTTTCATAATATTTATAAAAGTTATTATAACATTAATTATTTTCATCATTTTCATCCAAAAATCCTTTTTCATTTAATTTAGGTGGTTACATGAAGCTTTTTAATCTTAAAAATTTTACAAAAAAACATATTTCATTTGCAATAGCATAAAAAGTATCAACTGTGACACTAAATTATCCTATAGAATAAGATTCTCTATATATTTCTGCTATTTCCTAATCTGTACTTTCGGGAAAGTTTATTTATAAAATTTTTTTAAATTAAGAAAAATCAATAGAGAATTTTTTCATCTCATTTATAGTTGAATTTAATCTAAAGCATTCCTTTAGTAAAAAATATTTATTCTATTTTTCTATTTAATAAAATTCTAATAATATTCTTAATACATAATCTGCCTCAATTAAAATTTTATTATTAATTCCTTTATTTACACTTTTTCTTTTCTCGAAATCCTTTTTTATTTATATCCTTATTTCTTCATTATATTCACACATTATTATTTCGATTAATTTTATTGCTTATTTCACTAAAAATAAAAGTATAAATTTTTATATTTTATTATTTATTCTTTACATTCTACATATTATAATACAACAAAAGTACTATCGGATCTTAATAGATTAGGTCCTTAAAATAATAAAAATCTACAATGCAAATAAAAATATAAATCATCTAATAAAAGGTCTTCACATAAGAATTATTTAAATGTGATAATTTCCCATATTTTGTTTAATTTAGGATTTATTAAATCCATTAAAAATATACTTTTTATATCATCCTAAATTTATTTTTCCTAGTTATTCAAATATCTATATATATTTTTTATTTAATATTATAAATAAAATAAAATATGAAAACCTTAATTTTCTTGTTTCTTTATCTACAGCAAATTTACTTAACCATCCATAAACAAAATCTGGAAATTTACTTATTTGTTTAGGTGTTTATTCAAATAATATGAATTCATTATATTTAGAATCTAATATTCCACGTAAATTACCTAAAAAAGAAAGATCTATTTTCCTTTCATCATCTTATTAATAGTTTTTGATATTTTAATCTATAAATATATAAAAATTAGGCTTAAAAATTTATATTAATTTCATTTTTTCAGAAATATTCGAAGTATTTTTTGCTAAATCTTCTAAAATATCTGTGTATTTATTTTTATTTGAAAAAATAATGTTTTTGTTTAAAGAATTATTATTAGCTTCTTAAAGCAAATTTTTAAAAAAAGTACGATTTTTAGTAAAATCTTAATTAAACTATTTTAAAAACACAAAATCATTTTTAAAATAATCATCACAAGGAATATCAACTTACTTAGTTCTTTAAATTACAAATTTATTCAATTTAATTTCAGTTTGATTTAACTTTTTTTATAACAATCCCATTAATATTTTTGCATTTTTTTAATTTAATTTATATGTTTAAAAATCTTCGCTTAACATTAGGAATCTTTCACTAATAAATATATATATATATATATATATATATATATAAATATATATTAAATATATTAATATATTAAGAAAGAATATATAAATATTAACTTCAATTAAATAATTTTTCCTTTGAGTTCTATATTTATTAATTCATAATTATTTATTTTTTACTCTTGTTAATCATAAGTTTATTTTTATTTTTTTAATTCATTTTGTAACTAAATTATATAATTTTAAAATAATACAAAAAATATATATTTTACCTTTTAAATCATATTTTATTAATTTTTAATAATATTTTTCTTAATAATAATTTCATTTTATTTAGTGTTTATTTAATAAAAAAGTTATTTAATTTATTCTTCATGTTATTCATTAGACTTATTAATTTATTCACGTAAAACATTAATATCAGAATTCTCTTACAACTACTTGTACTAATTTGCTAATTAAATATTTTATTAGCATAGTTTTGTATTAAGAAATTTTAAAGCATTATTATCAGAAATAGAATTATTATTTGTATTATTAGAATTTTATTATTTAGAATTTATAGGTGAACTATTTTTTTAATGAATTTTTAATTCTTGATTTTATTATTCTTCAAATTTTTTTTTTAACTATTCTATAATTGAACTTTTAACTTATATTTGATTATTTTAATCTTTTAATAAACTCATTATCACCTTCATACCCTAAAAGTTTATAGAATATATTTTTTCTACTAAATTATGTAAATTTTTTTCATTTAAAACTTCATAATCAATTTCTTTTTCAAGTACACTTTACATACTGAAATAATATATAATTTAATCTTTTACATTTTAAATAAATTTAAAGCAATTTTATTTTTATATTTAGTTAAATATTTTTTTTCTTTTTAGATTATTTTTTTATTTCAATTTTTAATGATTTTCATTTTTTATCTATTATTTCTATTAATTCATAGTAAAATATGGAAAAGGTTCTATTTTTTAAAAAAATAAACTCGGTTTTTCCGAAGGATTATTTTAACTAAAAATTGTATTTGAAAAACTCTAATCTTAAAAACATATTGGAGTTGTAAACTTCCTTGTTTCAGAATTTTATTCAACTCTAAAAATTTTACTTCTTTCATTTTATTTTTAATATTAAACATTCAAAGGCTTTATTTGTTAAGTATTTTGATTTTATTTTAAATAATTTATTTTGTATTTCTTAAATTCTTCATTATTTGATGCTTTTTAATTTACAGTTTAAATAAATATATTATCTTCTTTAAATTTTTATATTTTTGAAGGAATTTAAAATAAAGATATTGTTTTTTTATTCTTTTTCTATTATTTTAAAAAACGATTTTGTGGGGATAACATCACCTTTTATTATTTAATATCAAATTATAAATTTAAATTCATTTTACTTATTAAAAATACTAAAAATATTGGAAAAAAAATAAAAAAATAAAATTGAAATTAAAAAATAAATATATATTTGTATTATTGTATAATAAAAATAAATAACAAAATAATTAATCAATTCAATTCAAAACAGAAACATTATTATTATTTTTCACACATTTGTTTCTTTGATTTTATGTTTAAATAAAATCATAACTATTTTACCTAATAGATATTTTATTTTTCTATTTAAAGTTTTACTATTATTAAGAAAAGCATTATTATTATTAAGAAATACTTTATTATTATTAAGAAAAACATTATTATTATTATTAAATATTTTTATTATTATCACTAAATTTATTATTAATTTTATTCTGAATTTATTAAAAGCATGTATTTTATTCTAAAATATTTTTGATTAGGGGAATGATATCTTAATTGTTTTAAACTTATAGTATTTTCTTGGTATAATTAATTAAAATAAAACATTATTTAAATTCTTAATACTAATCAATAATAATTTTGAATGCATTCCAACTATCTTTTAAAGTATATTTATTTGAATTTTATATATTTGAATATTTTCTAATTGTGTCTTTAAATAATTTCGCGAAATCTTTATATTTGAGAAATTCCTTTTAAATTTCTAAAAGTTCTTAAATTAAATTATTTTTTTAACAATTAAATCCAAATATTTATTATATTTCTGCTTATAAACTCTATTATTGTTAATTCTAATTTTCAATTATTTAAAGTAACTAATTTTTTTCTTGTTTTATATCTTCATATTATTACATTAACTTTTATGTTTTTTAAACATTTTCTTGATTCAATTATTCTTCTTTTTAATTTTTTAAAATTCTCTCATTTAATTTTTAAATATCTCCTCCCATTTATTTTATTTATTTATTAGTTTCTATTTTTAATATTTACATATGATCAATTTTTTGATTTAACATTTCGTTTTCTGATCTTAAAAATTCAATTTCGGATTATTACTTTTAAAATTAAATATATTTTTCTTTTAATTATATATCTTTTTGAATTTGTATCTATTTATTTTTGTTTATTTCAGTTTTTAAAACTTCAATTTAATTGACTAAGTTATTAATCTAATTATTTAATTCTATATTTTTTATTTAAATTGATTCTTAATTATTTTCTTTAAATTATTAGTATTAGAATTCATTTTGTTCATTTTTTGTTAATTTATATGAATTAATACTGTTATTTTACGTTTTTAATTAGCAATTATTTATAGTCAACAATCCTTTATTCATATTTAAATTTTCATTTTCTTTACCTTGATTTTAATTTTCGATTAAAGAGTCTGATTTACTAAATGTGTTTATATGTGTTACAGATAACTATTCTTTAAATTCCTATGTTTCCGATTTTAAACTATTATAATTTTAATCATATATCTCTTCACTTTATCGAGTTTTTTGTAAATATTTTTTTTCAAAATAACTCGAGTCTTTTAAATTTTCTTCTTCATTAGAATTTTAATCTGAAATTTTAAAGAAATTTCCATGTTCCTATTCGTCCTCATCTTCAAAACATTCACTTTTTAATTAAATTTTTAATTTTTATAGACGTTCTTGATATGAAAAATTATATTATTATTAATTTTATAAATACATTATTTTTTTTAAATATTATTTAATTTATTATTAATTTTAATAAAAAATTTAACAATAAAAAAATAATTGTATTAATAAATTTAAATATAATATATTAATAAATATATATTATTTATTAATAATATATATAATAATCTTGTAAAATATAATAAATCGAACATTATTTAATTTTTTTTTAAAAAAGTAAATATATATAAAATAGTTAAATATGTATTTTTAAATATAAATAAAATACTTGATTTGATAATTTTCGTTTTTAATCCAAAAAAATGAAATAATAATAAAAAAAGTAAAAAGAGTTCTTATTTTAATTATATATCTCTATAATATGATTTTTTTACTAAAAAATATCAAAGTGTTAATTCTTCATAAAAAAAATCTAATTCTTTATAAAAACCTTCTTTCATCTTTTATTAAAGTTCTAGCATGTAAAATACGTTAATTATCGGCTATAATGCAATATTTTTCAGGAATTAAACACATTTTTTATTTTATAAGTTTTTTTGAAATATTTTTAAACTTTTCTAAAAGAGGACATTACTTTTCATCTCTTAAAGGTTACATAAGGTCATATCTGAACCTAATCTTATCTTAATCGAATTAAACAGGAAGAATTTTATATTGAGAATTTTATCCGCCGGAAAATTCAGGAGGAACTTTATATAAGTATTTCTTTTACTTAAATTCTAATTATTCATCTTCACTTAATTATTTTATACATTCACTTACTTTTACAATAGAAAAAAAGCCTCCACCCCTTCTATCACAATTTAAAACACTCAAGGCCAATGCTCTTGGAGGTTTTTCGTACCAAGAGCCATCTGTATGAGTATCGAAACGACCTGTTCCATGAGATCTGGCATATGTATTATTGCTAGAACCATCATTTGATTTTGTAGTTAAGCTTTAGGGTTTTATATCCCATACTATTTTTGGTTTATTTTTTAAAATTTATTAATTTTTTTCTTATTCAGATATAAAAGTAGCAAAAGCTCTTTATTCGATTTAAAGTTCCTATTATTATTTTAACGATTAGTCTTGTTCATTTTTTAAAAGACAATCAAGATGGTCTTAGGGTTTACCTTTTATTATTTCACAAACATATTATTTAAGTCTATCAGAATTCCAATTTTCATCTTCTTCTCCTTATTTTTCAGATAAAATTGTTGTTAATACAGCTGAATGTTCATCAAAAGCTGCATTTATTTAACTTCCTAACACTTCTTTTTCTTCTTTATAATTATTTTCACTATCATCTAATAATCTAGTAGTTAGAATAAATCTTGCCTTAGAAGGAACTTAAGTTAATAATAATGCCGCAGGTTAGCAAAATCCGCCTTTACTAAGGGCTATTATATCTGATTAAGAACATCTGAAAATTCCAGGGCCATAAAAGATGCCGTCCATACATAATAAAGTACTTACTATGTTACAATTTTCGAATTACCATTCTTTATTTTCATTATATATTGGCGCTTGGAATTAAATGCTTTTCAAAAATGGTTAAACTATTCCTGTTGAAAAATATGAGCTATCCTTATTTTAATTATCTTATAATGATTATAAAAATTCATTAATACTATTAAAATCATTAGATTTTATTATTCCTATTCCTTTTCCACCTAAAGAAGGTTTAAATATTAACTATTCTTATGAATGAAACCATGATTTACTATATTTTTTATTATATTGATCAATTGCTTACTCTAAAGGAATGCTTTTTATTACAGATTCTAATAAAGTATTAATATTTTATTAAATTTATTCTTTATTACTACTAAATTACATGATTTCTTCTAATAATTAGCAACTATAAAATCCCGAAAGAACTGTCAGTAACCTTTTATCGTGTAGAATAAGAATAGCACGTAAATCATTTAAACATAATCCTTAATCAGATAATTAAAGTAATCCTATTAAAACATTTTAATCTAAACTCATTATTTCAGTTTAATGAAGTTCAAGAATTATTTTTTATATTTAATTATTTGTTTTTTTATCAAATAATTATACATTTCCTTCATTTTAAATTGCATAAATATCACTAGGAAAAATAAATTAAATTTCATATTAATTAAGAATACTTTTTAGCAAAACAATATCATTTTTTAGTAGTTCTTATTCTATAGCAATAAAAATCTTATTATCGTTTTGTAATCCAAATCTATTTTTGAGATCTTTTACAAAAGAATGAATATGAGGGATAGAAGTAGCCATTTTTTCATAAGCAAAAGTTCCCGGAGTACATGATAATATTCTTAAGGCTTCGTTAAGGGCCGAAGATAAAAAGTAACCATTTAATGAAAATCTTGCATTTATTTCACAAACTCTAAATTCTACATTATCTAAATAATGCTTTTAAATTTCATTTTATAATTAGTTATTAGCAATAATAACTAAATCAGGTCTATAGGACCCAGATCTTTAAGATGATTTAATTAGATTTTATGGATTAGTTTAATAATGAGAAAGTAATAATTATTCAAATTTTTTAGGTAATTTTATAATATTTCTTAATTATTTTCCTAAATTTGAGTCTTAATGCCATGCCATAATATAAGCTGGTACGAATGAATTTATTGCATTTGCAATTTCTTGCATTTTTGAAAAACTAGTTTATGAAAGAATAATTGGTTCTGGCCCTATTATATTATCTGTAATGTTATAATCTTAATCATTATATATATATTTTTAGAATAGTTTAAGAATAATCTATCTACTAGTTTCCATTTTTATATATGTTTGTAATAATGATAAATATTTAGTGTATAATAATAAATATATTAATATTTTATATTTATTTTATTTTATTGTAATAATAAAAATTTTTAATTATAATATATTATATAATTAATAAATATTAAGTATGATAAATATTGTATCTAAAAATTATAATAAAAATAATCATATATAATAAAATTAATTAAAATTAATCATATTATTGAAAAAGTATAAAAAAAAATACAAATAATATGATACTATAATAAATAATATTATAAAATAGAAAAATAAAAATTTAATAAAAATGTCTATAAAATTATAATTATTTTTTTATATTAATATTGAAATATCTAATTAATAGAAAAAAAATTATTAAAAAAAAAATATAAAAAAAAAATTAAAAATATAAAAATAAAGAAATTATTATATCAAAAAAAAAAAATATTTATTAAAAATATTTTTAAAGTAAAAAGAAATTATTATTATAAATATATATATATATATATATATATATATATGTATATATATATATATTTAATTTATACTCTTTTTTTTCATATAAATATTTCTGTTATTAGATTATTTTTTTATTAATAATTTTAATCTACATAAAATATTTCTTTTATATATCCTTTTCCATTTTATTGTAAAATAAAGATAGTTGTACTATATGTTCCTCTTTCTTTCTTATAATATTTGCTATAAAACTATTCTACAAAAATTTATGATTCAGCCTCAACATCTTTAATAAATACAGTTTTATCTTACATTAATTAAATTAAACTTTAACTTAACTAATTTTAATTATTATTTTCATTTTTATTTATTATGTTTTCAAATATTTTTATTCCATATTCACATTTTGGCCAATCATTATTTATTAATCCATTACATAAAACATAGTTTTTTCCTTTTTCAAGCTAAGTAATTTACGGACAATCATTTTCCTTATAAGTATTATATAAATAATAAAAATTACTGCTCTTTAAATTTCCAACTACTAAATTAAATGAATTATATTATTTTATTTCACTTTAGATTTCTTTTAATTATTCAATTCGTCTATTCTTCTATATTTCTATCTTCTTTTAAAAATTAAGTCTCTAAAAATCTATATGTTAGGTTTCCTCTACCATACTTTATTTAAGTTACGTCATGCCATTTGTCTGAGTTATAATTTGTCAAAAAAGCTATTATTCTCTGAAATTTTATTGTAACCACACCATGTTCCTTTTCCTTCCAAATCTAGGCCTGCAATTATATTTTTGTCTTCTTAAAAAGTATTTAATGATGCTGTTTTTTTATCAAGTTTTTCGTCTCTATTAAATGATAATACAAAAGGTTTATTTGAGTTTGGATGAGGTATATGAAAAAATCTATACACATTTTTATACTATTAAATTTATCTTATTTTTCAAATATTCTAGATATATTAATAAATTATATATTTATTTATTATATTTATAAATATAAATTTTATATTTATTATTTTAAGTTTTAATATTTTAATATTTAAAATTAATATATAATATAATTTTTTGATTATTTATATAAAATCAAATTTATTTCTATCATTAGAAAAATAAAATATAATTTTAATACTAATATTATTATTTAAGAATTTATATATAATAAATGTATATTATTTAAATCTTTTTATAAACTCATATATTTATAACTAAAAATAATAATTAAAAATATTTATTTAATAATAAAATAAAAAACAAAATTATATTTTTCTATAATGACAAAATAATCTATTTAAATTTATTTCATATATACTAAATATAATATTGAAAGTTTAGACTATAATAATTGAATAGTAAATTAACTAGTTTTAATTGAATATTTTTTTTTTAAAAAAATTAAATAAAAAGCTAATACAATTAATGTTTTTATTTATATAATTTATATACAAGCATCGAATTAAAAATCTCATTAATGATTATGATTATATATCAGAAGTATAGTTAAGTTATTTTTAAGATTTTAATCATTATTATGAAAATTCCTAATAAATTATATTAATTCTTCTTAAAGGCCTGGAGCATTTAAACCAAACAAAAATATGACTTTTATCAATTAAAAATATTATTGGCTACTTTAGTTATCTAAACAAACTACTTGAATAATATATTTATACAATTTTAAAATAAAAAGCCTAAATCATAAAACATAATAACAAATTTAACCTATAATAAAAAATCCAGAATAAAAATATGAAAAGATAATAACTGAAAAATAGTTTGTAATTTAAAAGCTTGATCATTATCTAGTGAATTAACTGAACATGAAATCATAAATAAATATGCAAAATCTGATTAAATGTCGTTTAATACTTATACCAATAAATCTTTATATAAATTATCAAAAGTTTTAAATTTAAATATTTTATATTGAAATAAAAGTTATTAGGTATTTATATAACTAAGGAGTAAATAATTAATAAAATTAAGTCTAAATAAATAATCATAATTTAAAATAAAATAAAACATATTAAATATTTCTTCTATGTTATCTAAAGAAAGATTAAAAAATATATTTGCATCAAACATAAAAATTTTAGATTTAGATACAAATTGATAATAAATATACAAACATAGGTAAAAAAGAATTTTACTTAAATTAAAAGATATTTAAGAAAATTAATTTTAGTAAAAATATATTTTGATAAATATTTTAAAGGAAGTATTAATTTAAATAATTAAAAATTATTATATATAAATAAATATTAAGTTAAATTTGAAATATTAAAATATATATAATAAATATAATAAATATATAAAAAATAAAATATAAAATATAACAAAATTTATAAAAAATAAAATAATTATGCTTATTAAAATAAATTATAATATTATTTAAAAAAAAAATATATAATTAAAAATATTAAATTTGTCAAACATTAACTATATATTCTTACAAAGATTCAATAAAAGTAATAATTTCATATTAAGCTTCGGAATTAATAACATTATCTTTGATAGCATCATAAAGAAAATTAGTAAATTATTAAAATTCATCTATTTCAATATCAAATTTATTATGAATTTATTAAATGTGAGCAAAATAAATCCTTTTTAGAAAAAAAATATTTAATGATATAATTATATACGTTAATAAAAAAAAAGTAAATATATATAAATATATTTATATAGTAATATTATATATAAAAAGATTTATATGTTTATTTATATTTAAATATATATATATATTTATATATATATATTATTTATATAATTATATATATTTATATTAATATATATTTATAATTTTTTTTTTTAATTTATATATATAATTAATTAAATTATTTTTATATTATTTTTTATTATAATATTTTAAATATTTATACATATTTATTTATAAAATTTTAAATATTATTCATATACATTTTATTCATATTATTAGATGTAACCTTTTTCATAAATTTTACAAATTTCTTATTTATTTTATGTATATTATATGTAATAAAATAATGTCTTATATTTTTGCATTGCATTACTTTTTCAAAAACTTAATTAGAAATTTTTTAAATACATTCTAATCCTCCTAATTTATCGAAAAGTGTTAATTTAGTGACATCTTCTTTAATTTAATTAAAGTGTCCTTCAATTTAATTGGTTAATAATTTATTTTCAATAATTTATTCAAAACTTTCTTATAATAATTTTATATAATTTGTTACGTTTTCACATTTTATGTGTCCAATTTATTTTTTTTTATTTTTTCTATCTTAAAATATATATGTCAAATATTCTACCATTTTATATTGTTTAAAATTAAAGTCTTTTAATTTTTCTTCATATAATATTTTGATTGCTATTTATATAGTTTTGTATCCTCCGATTTTTTAAAATAAACTATTTTAGCTAGGAATTTCTGTCCATAAAGTTTCTAATAGCTAATTTAATTAAATAATTCCCTCTTCATCTAAATTAGTATTTTTAATTATTATTTATTATAATTAACAAAGTGCAAATTCAAATATACTTGGAGGTATATCTAATTAGCTATGAGTTTATTAAATTTATTTACCTTTATAATTTTTTTCTTAACTACCAAACATTAAAGATAAGTACAATGTATAATTTTATTTTAGTTTATTAATTTATTCTTTTGATTTATTTACATAATATTTCTTTGTTTCCTAACTAGTTAATAATATATCAAAATAAATTTCTATACATTTTTATATGCTTTCTGACCCCCCACATTTTTCGAAAAGGGATTTCTATATGTTTGAAATTAATAAGTTTTTGGTACTATCTAAATGTTTTATGAAATCTTAAATAATATTATTTTCAATTTTTAAAGAAATACAAATTTATTCAAAATGCTCTTTTACAATTGTAAATTAAAATTCTTATATGTTTAAACCTTAATGAGCTTATTTTATTTTTTTTAAGCTATTTTTGCTAATTTTGTAAAAATAAAAATCTTTAAATTTAATTTTTTTAAAAAAAAATTACTTGTATTGTGCTCCTAAAAAAACTTTCAAAAAATCAAACATATTTTATTATAATTCTTGTTTATTAAAATTTTAGCTAAAATAATCTTTTAAATTAATATCATTTATTATTCTATCAACAATTTCTTAACTTATTATTTATATATTTTATTCCCCGCCCATTTATTCATATAAGCTTTTATTTTAAAAAACTAAACTTTATTATTCTTAATTTGAAAATGGGCATTTTATCTTTATTTACTTATCACTTTATTAAATAGATTTTAATAAATCAAGTACTTATTCAGGGCAGAAAAATTTAGATTCGCCTTAATACTTAATCATTTGATTTTAATTTATAATAAATAGATTTATATTGCTATTTTCAACATTTACTTTGTATTTTTTTGATATTTCCTAGTCAATGTCAGATAATAAATATATATTTACATTCCCTATTTCATCCTTTGTCTCAGAATTATTGAAAATATTCATATACATATATTAATTCAAAGACGAAATACCAAAAATTACACTTTAATATTCATAATATTTAGATTAGTATTCAGAAAATTTCAAAATTTATTCCTTAACCTCATTAATATTATTTTAAAAAAAAAATAAAATCAAATATTATCCTATAAATTAATTAGATTATATTTTAATAAATTAATTTTTATAATATGATATTGTTTAAAAATAAGGAGCTGGATGCGCTATAAACTACTCTAATTATTAAAAAAAAAAAAATTAAAAATATTAATTTTATTTATTATATATATTATTTTTAATTAATATACTATTCTGTATTTTATTAAGTAATTCAGTATCTGATTGAGAAGAATTATCAATATCTGCAAATTAGCAATTACCCATTTGTTATGATTCCTTTATCTATTATATTCGTTTTTTTGTTTTGTTTTAATTTTATAATGATATAATTATATGTTGATAAATATAATTTTAAATTAAAAAAAAAAATATATTATTTTTATATTTTAATTTACAAAATTTAACATACTATAGATTTAAAAATAAAATATATCAATATTATTCCTAAAAATAATTGATATATTTATTTAAAATTAATCAATATTTTGTTATAATAAAATTATACATATCATATTTAATAATATAAAATTAACATTTATTAATTTATTTTAATGGAATAAAAAGTATAAGAGTTTTTAACTTTAGAAAGTACATTATTTAGATTAAATGAAAAATGTTTTAAAATATGTATTGGATAATCAAAAAGTTAAAATAAATAATATGTAAATTAATAGTTATTATTGTTAAGTTCTTAATAGGATCAAGCATAATATTAAAATGCAGTTTAAGAATTTGAATAATGTATTAAAAGTTGCTCATATAATTATGCTTCAGCAAGAAATTTCGTTAAAGATAATTTTATAAAAGACATGAATACAGTAAATGAAAAAAACAACGAAGTTTACGATTCTTTTTGCAATTATGATTTAGATTATAATGATGTTATTAGCAAATATAAAGAAAAAGAATATTAATTTGAAAAATGATTTTTTTAATTAGATAAAAAAATATTTAAAGATTAATTTAAAAACACAATTTATTTTCAAATAAAACGATAGAGTTAAAATGAAGGCTATAAAATTAAACTGAAATCCATTATTATATTTTTTTTCGTTATTTTTGTATATATATAAAAAATAAATAACTAAATTTTTAAATTAAATTTTATTTTGCCTCCCTCCCCCCACCCTTTATTAATTATTATTAACAATTTTTTTAAAAAAATGTCTGCAATATTAAAGAAATTTCACAAAAAATATCACGATAAATAATGATAAATGCAATAAAAGCTAATTATTTAATAATTTAAATTAATACAAAAAAAATAAAAAAAAAGCTAAAAATATTAATAAAAAAAATAACATATAAAAAAATAAAAAATGGAAGAAGACCTTTGTGATTTAGAAGACCTTATTTAAGGTAATGAATTAGCCGACGAATATACTTAAAATGTCCGTCTCAAACCAAACACAATAAAAAAGCGCCCTAAAAAGTAACTAAAATAATCCGAATAAAAATAAGATACATTGGAACATACAGCAGATGATTCCGAAATAAAATTTAGTAAAAAAAATAAAAAATAATAAAAATAAATAAAAAATAAAAAAGATTAATCAACAAATACATAATAAAACACAATTATCCCTGGAATATAAAATGTGTATGTAAAAACATTCGGATGTTCCCATAATATAAGCGATAGTGAATTTATGATGGGATAATTAGCCGAATATGGTTATAATTTAGTTGAAAATGAAAAAGAAGCTGATATTATTCTCGTAAATTCCTGTACTGTAAAAAATCCTTCACAAGATGCTTTCATGACAGTGGTAAAATCTGCAAAACAGCAAAATAAGCATATTGTAGTAGCTGGTTGTGTCCCATAAGGAGATAGAAATATCCCCGGACTAGAAGACGTTAGTGTGATCGGAATTAGTTAAATTGATAGAGTAGTAGAAGTCATTGAAGAAACCTTAAAAGGAAATACAGTTCGTTTATTAGGAAAAAAGGCATTACCATCGTTAGATTTACCGAAAATCAGAAAAAACAATCTTATAGAAATGTAAACAAAAATAAAAAAATATAAAAAAAAATAACAATAATAGTATTCCAATAAACACAGGATGTCTAGGTAGTTGTACGTATTGTAAAACCAAACATGCTCGAGGAAAACTAGGAAGTTATACACTAGAAGCCATATTGGCTCGATGTGAATAAGTATGTGAAGAAGGCGTGAAGGAAATATGGTTAACAAGTGAAGATACAGGAGCTTATGGTCGAGATATAGGAACTGATATATCGGAATTATTAAAACATTTAGTAGAAAAATTACCTAATGATGTCATGTTGAGAATAGGAATGACAAATCCTCCTTATATTTTAGAACATATGGAAAATATATCATTAATATTAAACCATCCGAGAGTATTTAGCTTCTTACATATACCAGTTTAAGCAGGTAATAATACAGTATTAGAAAATATGAATAGAGAATATACTAGAGAAGAATTTGAATATGTATGCGATTATTTGAAAAAAAATGTACCAAATGTTACACTTGCAACCGATATTATTTGTGGTTTTCCTTCAGAAACAAATGCTTAATTTGAAGAAACAATTTCTTTGGTCAAAAAATATGAGTTTCCGATTATTAATATAAGTTAATTTTATCCAAGACCAGGTACTGCGGCTATGAAAATGAAAAAAGTACCATCTATAGATGTTAAAAGTAGATCTAAAAAAATAACTGAAGTTTTCGAAAGTTTCCATAGATGGGATTATTTAGTTGGAAGTATTTAAAAAGTATGGATTAATGATAAAGAAGAAAAAAAAGGAAGATAATTTTAACTTGTTGGGCATACTAAATAATATGCCAAAGTATTATTGCCTTATAATGAGGAACTTTTAGGTTAATCAGTACTTTTCAAAGTTGAAAAAGCTCTCATGTGGCATATTGAAGGAACTATTTTGGAAATTAATCCCAAAGATTAGGTTTAGGTTGGGAATGATTATTTTAATAAATATGTTAAGATTGAAAAATCGAAGTTAGAAGATAAAGTTAAAATTATAATCTAATAATAGATTTAAGAAGAGCTAGAACTAGAGTAATAAAATGCAACTAGAAGTCGGTAAAATAATAATAATGAAAAATCTTTTATTAAGTAATATGGAGTTTTTATTATAGCTTTTTATTTAATTCTTTGTGGAATTTTATAAATGTATTTTTTGTGATTATTATTTATTTTTTAAATATAAAAATATATTTTTTACTTAAGATATTTTACATCTATCAAAAAGAAAAAAAATAGAAGTAAACAAAAAATCAATAAAATATGCCAGAACAAAAATACTAATATTTATCGTACCTAAAAAAAATATTAATTTATATATTTAAACAACAACAACAAAATACCATTTAGTACGCCAATTATCAAGTGATTAATTAATTAAATTATTACAAAAAACATTTAAATCTCCATCATTACTAATCCCTTAAGGGTTAAATCTTTGATAAAGTTCTTAAATACACGTTTCTCCTTTTTAAAAACATTACATATTTGACCCTTCACCCTCATACATCATATTTACCAAAATTAGAATTTCATCCTAATGTTTTTAAGCTGCTTAGAATCCTTTAAAAAATAATTTCCTAAATAAACCAAACAATTATCCATCAACACCACCTAAAATTTCCAAATATTCCGAAATAAGTTTAAAAGGCAGTTTTTTTTCTATATGAACCCCTCCTTTTCCTGGAGCACTAGAAAGGAAAAACCCAAAATCAATGTGTACAATATGTCCAGATTTGTGTAACATAATATTACCATTATGCCTATCTTTGATTTAAAGAAAATAGCATACTAAAGAATAAGCACATAGAGAATGCAAAAAATTATATTTGGCACTTTAAAGATTTTAAGAAGGAAAAATAATATCAAAGAAATCTCCGAAATTATTTTTTTAAGGAAAATCTTACCACATAGTACGTTTTAAATGATCAAAAGTGACTGCATTTGGCACCATTTATAATATACCAGCTTATTAAGATAAAGAAACTATTTCGTAAGGGAAAAGACTTAAAGGAAGTTTTTATTTTTTAAAGATTTAATGAAATTAATAAATTAATTAAGTAGCGAATTATTCCATTTTAATATTTTCTTCATTTTTTACTATTATTTCGATTAATTTCCATGTTTTTAAATTTCCAAATGGAGAGTTTTCTCGAATTCTTTCTTCTTTTTTTATAAAATCTTCACCAAAAATCAATTATTGAATATTTTTTTCTTTATTTTAACTTATTATTTCATCTTATTTTTATAATTAATTATGTTTTTATTCTTCAATTTATTTTTATCTTTATTCTAAATCAATATTTATTTTCCTATTTGTATAATGTTCAATATTTTCCTTAATAAAAGAACTATTTTAAAAATATTCCCCTTTATTCTCAAAGCAACACGATTATTTACAAAAAGGATTATCTTCTTCTCGAGCTTCTCGATTTGTAGTAAAAGGAAAAGACAGATAATTATCTATTTCTTATTCTTAAAAAAGATTCTCTATTTCATGAAAAAAACTTTCTTCAGGTCTATAAACTTCACAACAAATTGAAAAGGGAGATCGCTCTTTTGAAGAAAAAAGCTTTGTTTCTTCAACTACAATATTTAAAATGTTATAATGTCTTATACTTTTCCATACAAAAGGAATATATACAGCCGAAGGTAATTATTTATTTATTATTTATAAAAAATGCCTTAATGCAATATACTAAGGTTGAGCGTTTTTTAATTTTTCTCCTATAAGTATTAAGTCATTCCAGAAACTTAAATTACTAATAAAACCATCTTTTTATATTAATATTTAATTTTATGAATTATCTTATTCTAAAATAGATTCTTCAGTATAATTACTTAGTATTATATCTTTTGCTTATAATTTTTCTTTTATTTGTATCATATTTTCTGTCCAATTAGATGTTCCATACGCTTATATTTATTTTTATATTTCCTAATTAGGAAATAATTATTCCCTTTTTTAAGGTAAATATGTACTAGTGTATACTGTGGATAATAATTATTTGTTCATATAATAAATCGCAAATTAGTAACATATCTCTTAAAGCGAATTTAATAGTCTTTTTTAAAAAAATTAATTTTTTTATTTTTTATTTTTTTTACGGAAATATATTCAAACTTTTCATGTAAAAAAATATATAATGCGCAAAATAAAAATCAATTTTTCCAACTTTTAAAAGAAAGTTTTGGAATTACTTATTGCTTAATTGATTACGAAAAGCAAAATAATTACATATTTAAGGAACGAAAAATTCTAAATCATCTCTGCTGTGGTTTAAGTGTATAAAATCTGGGTTTATTCTACATTGTTTTAATAGCTTAAATAAAATCTATTGATCTTCTTCAATATAAAACCTTACTAATATTTGCAAAGGACTTAAAATAACCTGTATATTCTATTTTTTATAAAATGTAGTATTTATTCTTTTCTTTAATATTTTTATTTTACATTTTAACTTTTTTTATAAGCTTATATAAATTATTTTTTATTTTATTTTTATTATAATAATTATTTAGTTATTTATGTTGATTATTCTGAAATAAATTATACATCATCTTCTTCTTACTTTCATATATTTTATTTTAAAATAAGTATTATTAATTTTTATTTTAATCTTAGTTTACATTAATACAACAATTAAAACATCTTAATAAGAAAAACTATTTTTTATTTCTTTCGTTATTATTTTAAAATTAATACAAATCAGTCATTTATTTAAAAATCAAAAACTTAATATTTATTCTTTATTAATATTTTATATATTGTTTTTTAATAATTAAAAGAATAAAATAGATTTATTATTAAATATATATTTTTGGTTTTAATATTTTTTATCAATTATTTCTTTTAAATATTTATTTTATATCCCAATTATCATATCATATATATTCATTAAAATAATATTTATATAAATTTTAATTGAATAAAATTATAAAAGTAGTAATATATATTTTTAGTTATATAATATATATATATATATATATAATATGATAAAATTTAATTAAAAATATTTTTGAAAATTTAAAGAAAATAATTTAAAGAACTTTATATAAAAAAAGAAAACTAAATATATTGAAAATGAATTTATAATATTTTATTTAAATGCAAAAATAAAAAATATAAAACTAAATATAAAAAAATATAAAAATAAAAAATATAAAATATTAATTTTATATAAAAAAAAAATATTCATTCAAACCAATTATTATTATAATTCTTACATTTAAATTAGATTTATATTTAAATCAGTTCCATTTTTATTATATTTATCTTCTTGTTTTTATAAAATCAAAAATACTACTACTAAAATTACAAACCCTAAAATAACATCCATATCAGAAAATTTACCAAATCCACTTAAATATCCTATAATAGCGTATATTCCAACAAAAAAGTTTATTGAAACACTAGAAAAAGTTATTTTTTAGTACTAAAGACACCAAATAAACAGATGATTAACTAAAATAGCAACAACACCGATTCCAAAAAATATTAACCATTAGAATATAGAAGGTGAAGTTAGAAATTAAATAGGAAAGAATGCTGGAATAAATGGGACCTACATAATAGTATATAAATGAACTAAAGTACTAGCATTTTAACCTTTTGTTTTATTTAAGCAAATTCCAACAAACCCAAACAATAATCCAGATACAAAGCCTCCAAAAATGCCATAAAAATAATTTTCTTATTCATTATTATTATCATTACTATTAATATTTTATACTATTATTAATGCTAATATTTAAACAATTAAGCCTATTAAAATTTATTTTCTTGTTAAAGAAAAAGATTAATCATTTTTATTTATTAAACCAAAAAGGGTAAAAAATAACCAGCAAAGCACAAAACCAGTCATTGTTGCTTATTATCCAGTATTTTCTATAGAATATATAAATAATATTAGACCTAAAAATCCAGAAAAGCCAGCTAGTTTTCCTAAAAAATTCAAATATTCATCTTACAAAAATGGATCAATATTTTCAAGACGCATCATATAATAGTTAATTACAAAAACTACAAGAAATAGTATAAAAGTGTTTTCTATAAATGAAATATTAGAATTAAAACATTACATTATAAAAAAGATGAATGCTAAAGATAATATGAATAATAATTATATCAAAAAATCTCCTTATGTCTTTTATTAAATTTTATTTAAAAATGTGTTCAAATTTAATAAATAATTTTATCTAATACTTATGTCTTTTACTTACATTTTTTTTTAATAAAAATTTTTATAATTGATTTTTATAAAATATAACAAAATATAAATTTAATTTATATTTAAAAATTTATTATATTTATAAATATTAAATTAGCATTTGTTTAAATAAAAAATATATTTAAAGTAATAAATAAAATAAAATATTCTACATATTATAAATAATAATTATAATTATATATTTATATTTAAAAAAAAATACATATATTTAAATTGTATAAAAATATAAAATAATAAAAAAAAAATATAAATTAAAAACTTTTATATAATAAAAATAATAATAAAAAAAATAGAAAATATAATAAAAAATATATAAAACTAATAAAATTAAGCAAAAAAAATATATAATATTAATAGATTAAATTAAATTAAATTAAATTAAATTAAATTAAATTAAATTAAATTAAATTAAATTAAATAAATTTCTTTCATTTATAACTATTATTTGAATGTTATACTTAAGAGCTATTTTTTGTTACTACATAATTAGCAACTTATTATTTTTAAATACTTTACAATTATTAACTACCTAAATAATTCTATTAATTTTTTCCATTATTCATGTCATTATAATTTATTGATTATCCACTTTTTTTTCCATCAAAAGTACTATTATTATCTCCATTATGATCACTTACATTACCATTAACTTTAACTGATTCTGTAATAATAGAATTTTTTAACCAACCATCATTTTATTAATTTCCTCCTACAAACTTACTTTTTTTAACAATTTCATCATTTGCGTGTAGAGATTTCCTTATTTCCTCTCCACTTCTTATAATTGAATTTCTTGCAACAAATCCATCTCTTAAACTTTCAATAAGTGCTCCTTAAAGAATAATTTTTGTAATATGTTCACTACATTTTTCTTATTATTTTAAATAGAGAATTCCTTGATTTTACAATTCGCCTATTTATGTTTATAGAGATGCATTTTAACTTGTCAAGTTTTAAATTTCTTAAGTAAGTTATAAAACTTTTGCATCAGAGTATTTTTATGAAGAAAGGCTTATTTCTAGTTATTAATATTTATTTCTCCATAAAATTATTTCTTCTTCTTTTCCTCTCATAATACCTTTTTGTTTTTAAAATTCCTCTGCTAATATTTTTAAATCGTTCTTATATTTTTAAATTTCATTTTCAAATTAGATATATTACATAGATTTATCTTCCAAAACAGTATATTTCTACTACCATTCTTGAATTTCTCTTTCTCTAATATTCAGAAGTTATTTAAGATTATTATTTTCAGATTAAAATATACTAATTTAATCTATTTATTATTCATATTAAGAAATTTTAGTACTATATTATACCAATTAACTATTCTAAAATTCAATTTTACTTCTCAAATCTTTATTATTTTTCTCACATTCATTCAATTTAGTTTCATATTATTTATAGCTATAAATAGAGCTTTCGATTTCTACTTGTTTTTTTTTCAAATCTTCATTTTCTTTACTTAATCTTATTAAGATTTCTTTATTAGAATTACTTTAATTAATCTAAATTTAATAATTACTAATTTCATTCCTCAAGTTTTTCAAATCATTATCTTTTTAGGCTATAATTCCATTTAAAGTTTCCATTTATTAAGTTAAAGTATATAATCTAGACTCATAAGAAGCCATAATCGATAATTTTTATTCATTTTCTCCAATTAATTTTTTCAAAGAACTATTCTCTTAATCTAAACTGTTTACTTTTCTCTAAGTAAATTCTAAAGTTTGACTCATTAGAGCTAATTTTTCCTCTATATCCTTATAGTTTATAATTTTAATTTCCATTTCTTATACTTTCTTATGTTTTTTAATATTGTCATCATTAATAACCTCGCATTTCTAATTTAATTATTAAAAGATTCTCTCATATTCTTATAACTTATTCTTATAATTATTTAATTCATTTTCATATTATGATCTTTGTTTTATATAAATGTTGCATTCTTCAGTAATTTTTACATTAACATTACTCAATCTATCAATTTCTTTATTCATAAAAACTATTTTCTATTCATAATCATTTTATCTGTTTTCATACATAAGTACTTTGCTTCTCCATTCGTCTACTTCTTTTCCTTTTTAGGATAATTGCTTATTTAGACGCTCCATTTCGATAGAATATTATTAGATTTATTAATTAAATTACGTTAGCTTTATTTAATCTTATTGTCTTTCGTTTATTTATATTTTTGTTCTGTTATATTGTTACGTTAAGTTTTATATTTCTATTTCTTTTTGTTATAATTAGTTTCTCAGCAATTCTATTTATTTTATTAATTAATTATTTTCTATCCTAATATTTTCTAGTTCGGATTAAACTTAGGCTTATTTACCACTTTTTTTTACGTTTTCTAGATCTTATTATTATCTTAAATTGGATAATTCATTTTCTAGTTAACATATTCTTTCATTGTTTTCTACATATATTATCTTTTCTTTTTCTGACACACGTTCAGGTTTATTTTAGGCTTTTCTCAATTCAATTGTTAAATATTCATTTTATTATTTTAACCTTTTTTACGTTTTTTTTTTTTTTTTTTTTTTTTTTGTACATTAATAATTATTCATTTAAATATTATATTTGTTAAGTGTTTTCTACTTGAACTACTTTTTCTACGGATTTTTCTGGTCTATTTTATAGTAAATGAATTTATTAATTGAGTGATTCTATTTTTGTTTATAGTCTATTTTTTAAATTTTAATGTATTTATATGTTATTTTTTTACAAATATATTTATTCTCTAAGTTCATTGATATGTGTAACGTTTTCTACTTCTACAATCCTTTCTTGAATTTGCATAGGTATTTATTTTTCCATAAAATAAACAGGTACTTACTAAGAAACATATGTTTAGACTGCTTATACTGGAATATAAGTAGTTTCTGTTTATCCGCTTTATAACATTTAAGATTATACTAAAATACGAGAATTCGATGACACAGGAATTTCTTTTTTAATTTTATTAGAATTTTATTTTTTTATATTTTAATTTACTTTGTTAGCCTCCTTATTCCATTACTAAGTTTTATTATGATCCAAGTCTTGATGTTACTAATTATTATTAAGGGGCTTAATAAACTAATTGTTGGTGTGATTATTGTTTATTTAAAATGGGTTGCTAAATTATTTGTGTATGTGAGCCTTAATTTTATTAAAATTAATTATTTGAAGGACTTTTTAAACGAGAATTATTAAGTGATCTATTCCTTTCAGACATTTTATTTTATTATATATTTTTTTTAATTTATTAATTTTTAATTATTTTTATTTATTTGATTACTTTTTATATAACAATAGAATAATTATTATGGGTGTTAAACAAAGTTTTTTATAAATATTTATATATATCTTTTTATAATATTTTATTTGTTAATTAAAATATATTAAAAATTAATCACAAAAATTAATTAAAAATAATGCTTTATATAAAAATTAAAATTACTTTAAGTTATATTAAATTATAAAAATAAAACTGTTTTTAAAATACAAATCATTTATTTATGAAAAAAAAAAATTAATGTATAATATATTAAATACTTTTTATTAATTACTAAACATATTTTAATTAAATGAAAAATAAAAATAGATTTTTTTTTTTTCATAGTAATTATTTTGTGTTTAAATAAAAAATAAATTACACATATTATAATTAAATACCATTAAAAATAAGAAAATATTATTTCTAATCATAGTTTAAATATAATTAATATTACTAAAAATTCTATATATACATTAAATATAAAATAAATAATATTAGTGGTTAATTTAATCTTTTTGAAATATTAGTAAGAATAATATTTATTATAAATTATCTTTCTATACTAGCTATACTATATGCATATGATTTGATTTTTATTTAAATACATGCACATATAAAAAAATTATCTTTATTTTACATAAATTACATATTATTTAATTTTTATACATGTTTTTAGGAAATGGTTATATAAATGTATTTTAATATTCTTTTACTTTTCTCTTTGCAATAATTATAATAATCCCTTTATGTAAATATAAAAATTATTTTAAATATGATATTTTATTTAATAATAAGATATTACTAAAAAAAAATATTATTATAATATTTTATATTGTTTAATTATATAAATATTTATGTTTTATTATATTTTTATTTTTTCATTTATTTTATATTATATTATAAATATTGTTGTATTTATTTTATTTTGTTAATAAATTTTTAAATAACTAAAATTTTAAAAAATCAAATATTATATTCTAAAATAACACATAATTAAATATGGATCATATAAAAAGTATAGAGTAAAAATAAAAAAAAATATATATAATAAAAAAGAATTCATGATATATATATATGTATATATATTTCTTTTTAAAATAAATAACTTAAACATTTAAATAAATTTACATGAATAAAAATTAAAATTAAAAAATTTAAATATAAACTAACAAACAACTTAATTATACTTATTAAAAATAATAAGTTATGAAATCTAGTTGTGATAAAACTATTATAGCACTGTAAATATCCTTGAATAATAATACAATATTTTAAATATTTCAAGTTTTTATTATACTGTAATCAATAAATAAAGCAAATAACAAAGTTAATCTTATAATATTAAATTTATAATAAATTAATCATATTCGAACTGAGAATAATCTGATAAAAATAATAACAATTATAACAATAGAAATATTATAAACAATATATTAATATGATTAAAGAATTATTTAGTAAATTAAAACAGTTATTTCTAATCTAACATTAATGAATTCCTCATTTTAAGAAAATGCTTTAATATAATTTAATTCAAATAATAGACTTTCCATTTAAATAAATAGTTATTATAAAAAATAAATATTTAAAAACCATTAAAATAAATGAAGAATATACTAAATAAATGATTACTTTTAAATAAATTGTCAAAAAAACTTATTAATTTAAATAATAAAATTTAATTTTTTTTAATAAAATAAATAAATTTAATTCTATTTATTAAAAAGATATTTTCTTAATATTTATTAAAAAAAATTATTTTTAATTGTTTTATAAATTTAATGATATAATAAAAAAAGTTTTGTATTTGCAATTACATGTTTTTTATTTTAAATTTATAAATGAATTAATATTATTTATTTGTTTTTCTTTTTAATTAATTTTTGTGAACAAAAAATACATATTTATTTGTATTTTATATTCTTTTATTAAAAATTATTTTTTTAAAAGTTAAAATAACAAAAAAAAAAAGAAATAAAAAAATAATCATTAAAATGCATCATTTTTTTCTTCTTACAATTCCTAAGTAGTTAAATTCATTTTTTATCTCGAAAAATCATCAATATTTAATCCATCAACAATTTTAAACTCAAAATTTTCGCAAGTAACAGGAAAAGAATAAATTAAACCAGCCGGCACCCCATAATATTATCCGTTCGAATAAACAGCCATAGATACAAATTACCCTTATTTAGTTCCAAAATACCAATCATATAAATGATCTTTTACCGCATTAGCTGCACTCATAACAGATGAATTTTATCTCAAAGCAAGCAATTCACCCCCTCTTTTTTAAACTCTTTATATAAATTCAGTATTCAAATACTAATCATCATTAACTATTGATCTAATATTTTAACCTATTTTAAAATAATATATATATATATATATATATAATTATATATATATATATATATATATTTACCATTAACTTATCCATGATTAACATCTGGATATTAAGTTGTAGAATGATTCCCCCAAATAATAATGTTTTTGACATTATTAATATTAACTTTACATTTTTCAGCAATTTAGGCTAATGCCCTATTATGATCAAGTCTAGTTAAAGCACTAAAGTTTTATTTAGGAATACTTTTTGCAGTTTCAGCTAATAAAAGACAGTTTGTATTCGCTGGATTTGCTACAACTATACTTTTACAAGTCTTCTTGGCTACTTAATCTAGAGCTTTTCCTTAAGTAATAAAATTTGTACCGTTTATTTTTAGTAAATCTTTTCTTTCCATTCCAGGTTTTCTTGGGACTCCTCCTATAAATACGACAACATCAGCATCCTTAAATAATACTTCTGGGTTTGAACCTGAATTTACATCTACAAGTAAAGGATAAGCCCCATCTTATAATTCCAATTCAACTCCTTTTAGTATTTACTCACATTAAGGAATATCCAAAAGACGTAAACTTATTTTAGTATTAGGACCAAAACATTAACCTGTCAAAAGTAAGGGTAAGAATGCATAACCTATTTGACCTGCAGCACCTGTTACGCAAACTATGAGTTTTTTTTCGTTTTAATGCATTTTTTCTTTATTTTTATTTTTTTTATAATAAAAAATAATTTTTTCTTATATTATTTTTTTCTATTTATAATATTTTATTTTTATCATTTTTTGAAATAAAAATATTATATATGACATATTATTTTTTATTTTTTTTGTTTTTTTTATATAGTTTTATAATTAATTTTTCAATTTTAATTTATATTATTTTATTCTTCAACTTAAACCCATTCATCATCTTCGTTTTGCTAAATAAATAAATAAAAAATTAAATGATTTATATAAAAATATTTACTTAAACAATCACTACTTAATTGTTATTATTCTAAGTAGCTGATGAAATAGAAAGTTAATTGCCTTAAAAATTCCAGTTTAATCTCCATACAGGTCCATTAAATTAAATATTAATAATTTAATGCTCTATTTATTAATAATTATTATTATTTTAATCGTAATTTAATTTCCAAACGACAACAATTTAATCCTATTAAAAATAAAAAAAGAATATTTAAAATTATTTTTTTAAAAAAATACTTCTGAGCAACTAGCTATTATATCATATTCATATTAAGAAAGGGGAGACCAAGCCACATCTCTAATCCAATCATTATGAACTCCTATAATTTCATATATTAAATTATGCGAAAGTTATCCATTTTGAATTTCTAAACTCCAAATTTTTAAAGTTTTATCGCAACTTCCAGTTATTAATTTTGTAAATTTATTGTTACTTTTTTCAACTTAATCAATCTTTATATTTTTTATCTTTAAAATAAATAATTTTTATGTTACTGTAAAATCATCATCAGCTTTAAATGGTTCCCAACATATACAATTTACTCCTAATTCATGTGCTTACCAAGAGTATTCTTGCATATTTGAGTCTTAAGTTCTTAATACTAATAAATAAACTTTTCCAACTAAAATTTAATATTATTAAATGTTTTTCATTTTATTTAAGTTACCAGATGATCCACATGCAATATTAAAACCACATTCATATGGAGAAAATTATATATAATTAATAGATCCTTCTAATTCTTTTTTCCAAATAGTTTCCCATATTTTTTATTAATTATTTAATTATTATTCTTTGTGTACTGCAACCTTTTTTTTATAAAATAAAATTAATATAGATATTCCTATATTTTTTTAGTAGAAAATAAAAAGTAAAAAATAACATTTTTATCATATGAACATGAAGCTAAAATATTTCCAAAGTGCGGATGAGCCCAATCAATTTTCCAAATAGGACCTTAATGACTATTAGTATTTTTATTTAAAAAATTACAATGAATATTTGAATTAATTTACACTTTTTGATTTCCTACTACTATTTTATTTTGGTCTTTCATTTAATTTTAAAAGTCGAATATATGAATAAAACCATCTTAGGAACAAGTAGCTATTTTTTTTCGATAATAATTATATTGTATATCATGCTTTTCAATTGTATATTTTTAAAATTTTATTAATATTTAATTTATCTTTAGTAAATTTAAATTACTATTGTTCCTTCATGATTTGCAAAAAAACTAAACTAATTTTATTAGCTTAAAGCAACAGATTCTTACTTATAAAAAATAAATATATTTTTTAATTAAAAAAGATTAATTTCATTAATAATAATTTTTTATTTTTTTACAATTATTTATGAATTTTACATTTTTTTTTCTTTAATATATAAGCTATATTTTATTAAGTTTTATTTTGACTTAGTTTATTTTTTAAGATATATAATTATTAATTTTTAAATATTTACAAATGAATATGTCTTAAAAAAAACAAATTATTAATAAATAAATGAATCTATATTGAATATATACATAAATTATATAATAAAAAAAATATTTAAATAAATTAACAATATTAATTTTTTATCGAATAAAAATTATTGCTGTATTTCTTTATTTAATAAATTTTAATAGATTTTTAATGTTATTATTTCAAATATTGTTTTCATTACGATTTTTTTAATTTTTTATATTGTTATTTCAAAAACGTTGATATATGCTATTAATTTTAATTAAAATTTATATAAATATAAGTCTATTAATTTTATAAAATATTTTTTAATTATTACTAAAAAAAATTAGAGTATATTTTAATTTGTTTAAATTTTGAAAATTTCTAATAATGATATTTAGATTAAAAATTTATTTTAATTTTTAAGAAAATATGCAATTATTATTTATCAATTATTTATAAAAAATAAAGAACTAATATTATAAATAATTATTATTAGCATATTAATAATTATGGAAATAAAAAAATTATCTATTTATTAAAAATTATAAGAATAAGTTAATTTTAACTTTATATGCTTCTTGATAATATTTGAAAAGAAACGGATATTGAAAGTAAATTTTATGAATAATAGTAAATTTAAAAATAAAATATTAGGAATTCAAATATTTGATTATGTGTTTGTATAAGCACAATATGTATAATAAAAGTAAATCAATAATATATATTTAATTTTAATTTAAATATACTAATATTTTTTGTGTTTTAAAAATTCTAAATCAATTTTTTGTAAAAATTTAAATATATTAAATATTTTTAATATTAATTTTTTTTATATTAAAATAAAAACAAGTAAAAAAAAATCATTATATTTTAGTAATATTTTGATTTTTCATATTCCTTAAAATATCCATAATAGCTACAGGGTCTTAGTTTTTAAACAAATTTTATATTTCTTTAGTTTTACATCTCATAAAAACATTAATTTCATTTTCATTTTCTAAAGTTGAAGGAATAGTCTGAATTCCCATATCTTATAAATTTTTATATTGATTTAACTTATCTTTTATTTATTAATTAGACTATTCTATTTAACTAGACCATTATAGATTAGAAACCGAATATTCATGTCCACAAAAAATTTTAACTTATTTATTATTAATTTTATTAATTTTTTCCATATTTTCTAACATTTGTTTACCATTCCCTTCAAAAAATTTACCACAACCACCAATAAAAAGTGTATCACCAGTAAACAAACACTCATCTACTGTAAAAATATTATACTAATACTCTTATTCTTTAATCAAAGTATTTTATATTTAATTATTTTATTATAAATAATATAAAACATGTCCTGATGTATGACATGGAGCGAACAAACATTCTATTTTAATTCCTTCTTCTTCATTTTAAATAAACTCATTATTTTCATTTTTTTCAAAAAGTTTATTAGTTACAGTACTTATATATTGTCCATCTTAAGCTGAAGCATATATTTTTATATTATCTGTTAATCTTTTAGCATTATATAGTGTTTCTAAAAGCTCTTAAGGATTTCCTATATGATCATGATGCTTATGTGTATATAAAATGTGAGAAACCTAAAGATTCTGAAATTTATTTAAAAAAGCCATTATGGCTTGAGTATCTGCCGGATCAACTAAATAGCATGGGATATAAGGTTTTTATTAATTTTAATAAGAGTAAAATGCATATGAATAATTGCATCTAAAAAGAGGAATTGATATTACTTTATAAAGATTTTAGTTCATTTTTGTTTAAGAATTATATAAATTATTAATTTTTATAAAAATATAAAATTATAATTATTATTTTATTTATATAATTTTTCTTTAGTTTTATATTCTTTTATGTTAAAATATATATTTAGAATTATATGGGTGATATTAATAAACTAAGCATATTCTTATTTATATCAAAATATTAATAAATTAATGACACTTAAATTAGTTAAATAATTATCGTAAATAAATTTAATTAAAGCATAATTATAAATCCATATTATGATATTAAAATTTTAATTATCATAAATAATAATAGATTAATAAACAAATATTAAAAATTTAATTTAATGAATAAAAATATAATATTTATTATGTAAAAAAAAAAAAATTTTGATAAAAATAAAATTTAATTTTATTATTTTTATTATATAAAAAATATTAATTAAAGTATTTTTACATAAAAATAAATGAATACTAGATACAATTTTGTTAATACTTATTCGCCTCCTCCCTCTCATATGATTAGGAGACCATTTAATTATTAACTTCCTCCTCATTATCATAATCACAAACATTATAAAAATTAAGTAAACTCTTATAATAATATAAATACTTTTAGCGAAAACTAATACAGTAATCCTTAATAAATAGGCTTCGACCCTACAAGAAATTATCAAAATTATCGTAAAAAAAATAATAATTATACATGGCTATATTATTAAAAAAATAAAAATGAGTAGGAGTTCCTGATAATTGGAAAAACCATAATACATAATTCTGAATATCAATAAAGTTATCCGGAGCTCTAAAAAAATGATTTTAGTTAAGAGTCCCTATATTGGAAAAACTATCCTTATGGAGGTTAGCATGCAACTAATTTTTAAGATTAAGCAAGTTTATAGTCAGTTTTTCATTTAAGATCAGAAATAGATCGCTTGAGGAACTTATTATGTTAAAAGATAGAAGAATGCTAATTCAATAAAATAAAGTACCAACAATAATAGTTATATAGCTGTTATTAACAATAATAACGCTTTAAAAACAGACAAGTTTGTTAAAGAAATATAGTCAAGGATAGAGTACTTAAAATAAGAGTTAAGAAAAAAGAATTAAGAAGTTGAAAGTATATCTTAACAAAGAAAAAAGAAATAAATAAATTATAAATAATAATAATAATAATATGGAATAGAAAACTACGAAAAAAATAGAAATCATCCTGAATAAAATTTCGAAAGAAATAAATTTTTAAACAGAGGTCGTTCAGAAGAAAAGAATTCACATTTATAAAAACAAGTGAATACAAAGATTTAAAGCAACGATAATTATTAGAAAAATGCTTAAAGTTATCGTTTTAACTAATATGATAATAAATTTTATAATAATGAGAAATATCAACAAATTTATCCTTTTAATACATAATAAGGATAAAATGCTGAAAAATTGGCTTTATTGGAAATGAAATAATTCAAGAAAAAATAAATATAAGCGAATAATTAAAAGAAGAGGAAATTAAACTTGCAAATTATATAAGAGATTTCCAAATATAAATTTTTTTATAAGAAAACGAAAAGGAAAGAATTTAATTAGAAGAAAGGATTTAATTTTTAAACGAAAATTTTCTAGAATCAGAACCTTTTTAATAATACTAAGAATAATATTAAATCATTATTAATGACAATAATTTATGTTTTGAAGAATAAATATAAGGATTATAACAATAAATAAATGATTTAATGTAAAAAATTAAGAAAACGAACGTAAATATTAAACTCAAATAAATAATATTTAAAATACTGAATCATAATAAATGTTCGAAAAGGAATATTAGAATGAAAAGAGACGAATTTTCGATTAAATATCAGCTATTTAGAATATACTTCATAATAAATGTTAATAAAAATAATAACAATCCAGAAGTAACTCAACAGACAATAAATATTTATAGTAATCATTTGGATAATAAAATAATAATAATAACAACTGTTTCAGATAAAATAATTTTAAATAAAATTAATAGAATACTAATTAGTAATAATAATTTCCAGAAAATAATCGTGGAAGAATATAGCCTATTAATATATCTCATTTTAATAATTAACCCTAAAATTAATTGAATTAAAACTAATTTAATTAAAATCCTAGGAACAATTTGTATAATAATAATTATTAAAACCAAGGTTCGATCCCTCCTATTAATTCTAGATATGATGAATCTAACTAAAATCAATAAAAACCTAATATTGATTATAGAAATGTTCCCTTTGTCCCAAACTAGCATTATACAAATCCTCCTTAAAATAAAGACGGAATATTAGGAGAGCCTGATTCTATTAGACTTGGTCCTTAAGGTGTAAATAATTAAATATATTATTCGAAAGAGCATATAAACCCTCACTTTTTCAATAATAATAATCCAAGATAATATATACCTCTATTTCATAATAATAATGACTAGATAAAAAATTTAAATAATCAAAATACTCCTTCTCTTAATAATAATAATCCAAAATAATATTATCCTCATAACAATAATGATCAGACATAAAACTTTCTTCCTAATAATAATCTAAGATAATATCAAAATAGTAATGATCCAAGATAAAATTTTCCTCCCCAATATAACGACCCAAAATAATATGGACTTTCTTAAAACAATCCTAGATATTCTTCTTTTAAAAATAATAACAATATATAGAATGGACATTAATACAATGATCCAAGATAATATGATTCTTCCATGAACAATAATACACTCTAATAATATCCTTAGAATAATTATGATTCAATTTATGGTCCTTTTTCTCCAAATAATAAAGATTCAATGTATGCCCCTGGAGGTTTTTAAGAAGGAGAAACAAATAACAATTCTATAATATAAAATATTTCAAAGTAAAATAGTCCAAATAATAATTTTAGAGATGGAAATCCTTATTAAAATGAGTTTTGTGGTAATCCAAACGAATATAGAAGATGTCTTTCTTAAGGTCCTTTTAGTCCAAGTTAATAAGTTAGTTTTAGTAATTAAAGAAAAAATTCATCAGAAAGTATCAATATTTTCTAGAATAATAATTAATGTAATTTAAACTAAGAAGATGTGATTAATAGTAGCATATTAAATGAATATGATTAGTTTAAATAAAACAATATCAATATTAATAATTCTCCTTCAAAATAATATTATAGAGAATAAAATCCTCCTAATATAAATAATACAATGGGAGGAGGAATAAATAAAGTAAAATAATTTATTATTTAAAAAAAAAAAATATTTTTTATAGAATGAATAAAATTATCAATAAAGTTTTAATATATAATGTGGAAATAATACACCAAATTAAAATAAATAGTAAGATTAATAAACTATAAATTCATAAAATACATAATAATGTTTTAATCAACAAAATAAATAAAAAAGCTTACCAAACGAGATATGAAAATAATAAAAGAATTAAATAAATAGTAAAATTATTTAAATTTATATATAATGTAATAATATAAATATATTTTAAAAAAATTAAATACATAAATGTGTTTATTTTTTATTTCTAAATATTTATTTTTTATAAATAATTTATTTTTACTTTTTTTAAAAAAATCTATATAAATTTTTATTTTATAATAATTATAAAGCCTTATCTTTTTTTATTTATTATTTTCCTGAAAGTTAGATTTTAAAATGATTTTTTTTTTAATTTTAATCTTAAATATTTTTTTTTACATGGCTATTATTATTTAAAATGGTTTTAATAAATTAATTCGAAACTTAGCTGATTTATTATATATCGTTTTTTATATATTAATTTTTAAGGAAAAGATTCACTAAAATATTTAAAATTCGCACTATTATTTTATACATAAATAATATTATTATTTTCCTGATAAAAAAGAATTATTTAAGTTTATCTTCATTTATTTGCATGTTATATCAATTAATTTTTAAAATAGTTAAAGCATTTAAATATATTATAATGATTATTTTAATAATCTTTTAACTTTATTGCAGTTATAATTTTTATAATAATTTAAACATTATGTATTTTTAAGTAAATTTAAGTTTTATGGGTAAATTTTTTATTATAAAAACCGATATTATTATTTTAAACATTATTATATGTCCATGATGTTAAATCTTTCGAATTTGTATTTTTATTTATGTCTAAATATTTTCTTATAACTAATTATTAATTGTAATTATTATTTAAAATAGTTTTATTATTTTATAATTAATTAGTTTTTTAATAATGTTTTCTCATATTTTTATAAAATAATATTATTTGATAACTTTTCCTTAAAATAATTAATTTTTTATTACTTTTAGACTGTATTATTTTACTTTAGTAATTTTATTAAGGCAAATATTAACAACGTGTTTTCTTCTATTTGAATTAAAAAGTATCATATATTTATAATTATTTAGTTCTTCAAATAATTTTTTTTATTTATATAAGCAATAAATAATAGTATTTGCCATTATCAAAATAACTTTTATGGGCCTAACAAATCCTTATTTTATTTATCTTTTTTTTTATAAAAAATATAAAATAAAAGCATAAAATATTAAATATTAAATAATGTTTTGCTTTATTTTAATACAATTTAAAAAAATTACGATAAAATTAATTTAATATTTAAAGTATTTTTGTAAATTAAGCAATTAAAAAATAATTAAGATAAGTTTAATTTAATATTTTAGTTTTTAAAAATAAAACAACCAACTAAAAAATAAATAAATAATTTTTTTTCAAATTTTGCCTTTAATCTATTTAATTAATTTAGTTTATATAAATTAATTTTCAAAATAGAATTTTATTTGTTTATTTTTTTACAGTTTTATTTCATATTATTTTGTAATCTATTTTTTTTACTTAAATTTAATATTAATAGAATTAATTTTTTTAACTAAAATATTATTATATGTAATAATTTTTTTTAAAAAAAAAAACATTTGAAATTATATTATTTTATTTAATTTATAATGAATAAAAAAAATTCTTATGCTTTTTCAAAGATTTCGATATTATTACAATTATAATAAGAATTAACTTAAAAAAATAGCCTTTCTCATTAAGAACAAAATTAATTAAAAAATTTATCAGAATAGATATATTATGAAACACAAAAATAAGTAAAATTACATATAATTTAATAAAAATGTTAATATAAAACTATATATTTAAATTCCCACTAAAACATTATTAAGTAATCAAAATAATAAGGAGCAAAGTTTGCGAAAATGTACATTTTCAAATACGAATTATGATTAAAATGAAGGTTTTTAAATAAAATGGGATGGAATATGTCCAACACCTTCCACAATAAATAAAATCTAAATAACTTATAATATAATGACAAAAGAAGAAGATTTAAAAACATACAAAAATACTGAATAATTTCCTACAAGAAAGATGAATTGGAAGACTTCCGAATGCATAATAAATATAAGGGAATAAATAAGAAATATATATCCTACTATTAATAATTTTTTATATATAAAATTAAAAGATGAATATGGTAAATACTGGGCTTGGACATAGCATTATTTGTTTAATTAAAATAGAGAGTTAATATTAGGAAAATATAAATTACCTTTATATTCATTAGTTTATACGCCTAAGGATCTTGAAGAAGGTGGTTTACCTTATTAAGGTGAATGTTTTTTGTATATTACAATTTAATTAAACAATGATTTATTTTCTTAAGAATATTTAAAATGTTTTGAATATATAGTTCCTCCATTACATTTAAATTAATTTAAAATTTCTTTCTAATAAAGAGAATATCCTATTGAAATTGATAATTATATAGAATATAAAATAAAACAAAATAAAAATATTAAAGCAACATATTTTGATGATAAAAATATAAATATCAATGAATATAGGGCAATGTAAAAAATAGGTTAAATAACCAAAAAAGTAGATGATTCGGCAATTCCTCTTGAATAATAAGCGGAAGATTTAATAGATAGAATATAAAAAAAGACTTTTAAAGTATCAGATTTATTTCAAAATCAAAAAAATATTTAAAAATAATAAATCTTAAAAGAAAATCCTTAAAAAGTATATAATTTAAACTTATAAAATATTCAAAGTATAAATAC